CGTGAGCCTTCTCACAGGGGCTCTTTTAGTACTGACGGGGGCTCTTGTTTATACAAATATCCATACAAGCTACATAGCTGTTACTGACTTTCATCCCCTGATGACATTCTCTCGATTTTTTCCCGTTCTGCACATTATTTCCTCCTCATTATTCGGAGCAACCTTTACATTCTTTCTTTGCATCAATTTGAATCACAATCATTATTTGTCGCTTAATCCCTTTTAATGACCTTGTTTTCTTTCTCGTTTGCAAGGGGAGAAGAAGATATGTCACATTAAAGACATCATAAAGATCAGTGTTGTATGCGTATATATTATATACACAGGCCAGTAACAGCTATATGTAGCTTGTAAATTTGTAAGAGGGAAAATGCTGATTGAAATGATAATGATGAAATAGCAAATAATTGAGGAGTATCGTAGGTACCAATTCAATGGATATTTGTATAAAAAAGAGCCCCCGTCAGTACTAAAAGAGCCCCCGTGAGAAGGCTCACGGGGGGCTCTTTTTTTGGGGGGGGAGAGCCCCCGTTGATAAAAAATTAATTTGAGCCCTGCGTATATACATATGATACCAGAACAAAATATTGATTATCAGAATGTCATTTTGGAATACCTCTATATAAATACTTTAGCTCGTATCAGTATTAGTATGAGCCAATATAAAGCTATTATTCTTTATTCAGTTCAGTATAATGATTTTCCTCAAAAATAGTTTTGATATTTTTTTAGGGTTGAGACGCTAAGAAATGGTTTCAAATGTACATTACACAAACCCTGAACCATTGCAAAATGATGGTGGTTCCCTCTCTCTCTCTCTCTCTCTCTCTTTATTTTAATCATGCATTATCAACTACATAATAAAGCAGCAACCAAAAACTTAGGGTTATCTGAGATAGGTGAAAGTAAGAGTTAAAAAGAAAGTTATGCTAAAACGGCGCTTCACTCCCCCCCCCCCCCCCCCTTAAAAAAAATTAAATAGATTAGTAGTCCTCCTCTCCAGCATCCCCCCGCTTTAATATTCACCGGCCGGCTGAGTCGGCCCAAAAATGTTCCCAAAAAACTGGACCCCCCAAAACAAATATATGTGCATTTATCCAGCCCCCTCACATGTGACGTCCTTTTAAGCACTGGCAGTGCCTTAAAAGGAGGTCACACGTTGCAGTCCACGTTCTCATCGTGCAAATTTAAAAGTCCCTAATATTGATTTACTGGTCGTGGTTCATTATTTGCTGGTCATTTAAAATTACCAGATTTTAGCGGGTTTACGCTTTCACAACGAAAAACTTCTCCATGACCATGACTTGCGCGGTCGCCTCCAGCTCCAGCAGACATGGCGCGGCAGCGTGCACACGTACCGTTACTAACGGCGCAGTAGGCCTATAACCACTGCTGACGGCGGCACTGCACTGCAAGCTGAATCGGTAATAATTAATAGGCCTACTCATAGAACGGGAAATCTTGCACGCTAATCTAAGTTCCGTTTCATTGGTTTAAGGTTTGAAAATTGAAACTAAATATTGTGTTAAAGTTATAACAGAAAAGATAATCTTTATTCTATAATTCCACGGGGGCGATTTTTAATTTTGCAATCGCCCCCGTGAGCAACCTGACTGGGGCGATTATGTAGCTCACGGGGGCGAATCGCCCACCGCCCCCGTGTATCTTGAGCGCTGCTCCTATTTAATGTTCCCTTTCTCCTCTCCCTTTCAATTTCATTCCTGCTTTTTGTTTGTTCTGGTCTTTCTGATGTAGTTCCAATTTACGCCAATTGCTTGGCCAGAACGTAGTGTAGATAAATCCTAAATAGAACAAACTTCAAGAAATATCACTTACATTGTATAACTGAGCTATCACAGAGTCAGCATGTACTAAAATACGATAATTATCAATATCAATGAGTGCTTATCAAATAAAGACAAATCTTATATACTGTTATTTCGAGTACTCTTTGTTTACCGATAGGATCGAGGCTTGTTGGACTTTCTTCTCGGATTATAATATCTCTGTGTTTCTTTCAAGTCTAAACATGTATTAGAACCTGTCATATTTGATGTCAATACCACTTACTTTGTATAACTGAGCTATCGCACTGTAGAGTCTAAGCATGTACTGATACGATAAGAATCACTATCGATCAGTGCTTATCAAAATAATAAAGACAAATTATATGTATATCATTATTTCGAGTACTCTTTGTTTACCGATAGGATCGAGGCTTGTTGGACTTTCTTCCCGGGTTATAATATCTCTCTGTTCCTTTCAAGTCTAAACATGTATTAGAACCTGTCATATTTGATATCAATATCACTTACTTTGTATAACTGAGCTATCGCACTGTAGAGTCTAAGCATGCACTGATACGATAAGAATCACTATCGATCAGTGCTTATCAAAATAATAAAGACAAATTATATATATATATATATATATATATCATTATTTCGAGTACTCTTTGTTTACCGATAGGATCGAGGCTTGTTGGACTTTCTTCCCGGAATCAAATCTACCTACGATATCTTTATTCCCTTCATGTCTAAACATGTATTCGAACCGTTCATATTTGAACGAACAAATCAACATTATTATCATGGTAATTGTTCAATAAAATAATAATAATTACAGTGCTTATATAGCGCCTAACACTTACTTTGTCAGAAATCTCTAAGCGCTCTACAACAATGCAGCATAATTACCCTGGCTTTAGCAGTGCAGCTGAATATGCATATGAATATCATTAAGCATACCTTCTGCAACATGTTGCAAGTTGAAGAATTGTTTTTCAACTGCATGAATGATCAACTACGTGTATGTCAATTATTTATTTTAAAAACACCGGCATCCTTGCGGCCAATCTCGAGTCCAGGTGAATTTCATATCTAGGATAATCATCCTGATACAGTATATGGAAAGTAAATACTGAAAATCATATTCATAAGTACGCAAAACTGTTATCTGCACATAGGACAGGCGTGGAAACACTTAGCTAGGGCTACTTGCTCCATTTCCTCATCCTAATTTAGCTCATTATTTAGCATTCTTTACAAAAAATAGTGGTAACATAATATGATATCATCAGGTTTAAGTTCCGAAACGGATTGACTTTCAAATAAAGTCGTGAGAATTTACCTTTCGTAATTGCAATATAAATCACAGTACATTTCAAGCTTTCGATATCGCGACTTGGTAATAATAGATGAAAAAAACAAAAAGTATTCTTACTCGAAACTAATTCCTGAAAGATGATATTATTATCCTGCAAAGTAGCGGCTCAAGTTAAGGGATGTGGATAGATCTAAAGGCGAATATAACAATGATGAGAGTCAAAGTGACAAGAAATTCATTAACAAATTTTGTTACGTTTTCTAAACTGATTTATACCAACATACTTTGTTTAGCTGTTTAACGGGTTAGGCTCGACTAGCACATGGGCTATCATCTGGCCCCTTTTACCAACCAATAGTTTCTCTTCTTGTATATGTAAATTATTGTAAGAAATGTATTGATGTTGGTAAATAAATCAAATTTAAATATAACATGATCTTATTCTGCGTTATTATCAATTTTGGAAAAAAAATTCAATGAAGAAGAGGGGGAGCAAGGAAGAGTGGGGGTGGGAGGGGAAGTGAGAAAACGAGGAAGGGGAAGGAAGGGGGTACAGAAAGAGCGAGCGAGAAGGGGGGGGGGGGGAGAAAGAGGGAGGGAGAGGGAGACAGGAAAGAAAAGGGAGTGGATATATTAGATAGTGAGAGAAAGAGAAGAGAGAGAGAGAGGGAGAGAAAGAGGAGATAGAAGGAGATAAAGAGAAGTTAGAGAGGGAGCGAGAGAGAGAGAGAGAGGTATAGAGAGAGAGAGAGAGTAAGAACAGAGAGAGATATAGAAGGAGAGAGGGGAGGGGATGGAGGCATGAGAGATAGAGAGAGAGAGAGAGAGAGAGGGGGGTGGAGGGAGAAGAGAGAGAGTGGGAGGTATAGATATAGAACAACAGTCTTCGTAACAGAATGGGAACCAGTGATTTGATTTACTTCTCTCTTTACATTTAGCCGTTATTTCGGAATCGGTTCATCATTTTAACTCCTAAGAAATGTTACATGTTTGCTTGAGTTTTTTCCATTTCAATCAGGTAAATGTATAATCATAATCATCCCCTAAAAGATTGTTATTATAATCATAGCAAGCAGTACAACAACTCATATTTGAATGATGATGTTCGTGCTTGTGTAGCGTGCAATAAATTCTAAGAGGTAATAAAATTAAACATATAATAGATACCTACATGTACATTATTTGTTATAAGGTATGAATTTTATAGACAAGGATGTTATATTTTCCTTAAGTTGATTTCTTGAAATCTTTGCGATCGTATAGGAGGAGGAAGAAAATACATGGACTAATAAGGCATACCGGAAATCACTTACTATATTCAGGCCAAAACCCATATCATTGAAAACTATCAGCACTGTAAATTGTTTTGTTATTTGTAACATTACTCTTTGATGCTGATTGACCGAAAACAAAAATAAGTTCAATTCTTTCTCTTTCATTCTACTCTTGACGTTCTAAGCTAATAATGAGTAATAATCTATTAGTGTGGTTTTTAGTCAATTCATTATCATAATATTTTGTTCATTGTTAATATGGTTGTATAGACAAGGTTATTATGGTTAATGCATGAATTGAAATAGGCGTAATGCTATTTAATGCTATAGTTAGCGAAATGATGACAAATTCCGAGGATAAACCAATAAGCCCCGCCCACTTAACACCAACCACCCTCTCCTATTGCCTTCTGTGGTCCGGGTCATATTTATTCCGTTGTAGGGAGTCAACATAGTGGATGCATATAAAAGGTCAATATTTTGAAAACGCAGCGTACGTTCCCATGACGTAAAGAACTCGAATTTCCGCGTTATATATTGACAATTCGAATCACAACAATAGAGCAAAAATCTGTAACTCAGACTCTCTGATATGCTCTCTTTTTTCTCTCACACTCTTTGCATTGTGTGCTTGGGTATTGTGTCACAGTTGAACGGATCTGCTACACATGTTGGAGGAGCAGGGCCGGCGTACTTATTGTACAATCGCAGCTGACTGTTTTTAATAGCTTGGTCTTTTGTACGGATGTGGATATTGGTCGAGGACTCAGTCTGTCGGTCTATCAACAGTTGCGTTCATCGATAGGCCTGCTATCTCTCTTTCACCAAACGAGGATCCTGGACTGTTCCAGAAGGTACATGATCTGAGGCAAGAGACTGTTAATACGAGACAACAGTCAAGAGTTTACATGATTACATGGCTAACTTTCAGAGGAATGGTCGAGAGCCGAAAAGGGGGGTAAGTCCATTTATATTCGATGGTCTTGTGGTTTGAGGTTTTGACTAGTGGTCTGCAGCAATTAGCAGACGTTCCCCAGGACTACACCTGAGGCAGGGATTGTATGGTGACATAATTATGATTGTCAGTGGAGGTGTGTTTGGATGGTGGTTGAATCTCAATCCAAAGGCTTGAAGGTTCGAATCCCAGCCCGGCAGTAACGTCCTTTTGCAACTTTTAATAATCATTTGCCACTCTCCAGTCTCCACCCATGAATTAAATATTAATAATAATAATACATGTAGCTCGTTCTTATAGCTTTATATATAATTATATAACATTACCCCGGTCATCGGATTCAGGCTTGCCCGCGCACAACGTACTATGCACATTCTCCCCAGCATTCCACCCAAGCGTCATTTTTACAAGCGCACACATTAGCTTTCGTATCCTACCAGGTATCCATTTTATATCTGGGTGGAGAATGGCAAATGTAGATCAATGTCTTGCCCAAGGGCATTAGTGCCGCAGCGGGGCTTGAAGCGCGGACCTTGTGGCGTTAGAATAAGTGCCTTTAGAAGTGACACTGTCATTAAACTAAGGTAAAGACCAGTTATGGTCATGCGATTGCATTGTGAAAGAAACGTTGTGGAATCGATCAGAAAAGGTTGATCATCTAGCATCTAGCATCTGCAAGGTTCTGGAATCATCAAAATGATAAGAAATTTGGCCCATTCTTCGTAAAGTTACAAGCACTATACACAGAAAGATGTATATGGGACTACCCTATATCTCTCACAGACCATGAGAGAAACAAATTTACCAAATATATGAATTAGTAGGCGGTTTCCCGGCAAATTTTTTATCATCATGTATTAGTCAAAACATATTCTTTCACATGATTGGTAATGAGAGCTTCCATTTCATTTTTTGAAATTGGGGCGTTTCCAATACTGGTCTTTACCTTTAAATAATGATAAAAGAGGAAAACAGTTTTTCTTAGGTAATGTGGGGCCGTCGAGGCGTATAGAATTTGGAGTTATATAATGATGCTCAGATATAGAAAAAAAAGGGAAGAACAGACAAACGACGCTTTTAGAGCCACCTCATTGTACATGAAGAATTATCTTAGACGTCATTGGTGCAGCGAACCGACTAATCTTCTTTACCATTCTAGTTGTCAGGTTATTTGAAGCTTATTTTTCCTTCATGATATTATTGTTGATTGAACGGAGGGATTTATTTCAAGGAGGGGTGTGGCTAATTTCTCCTCTCTCTCTCTCTCTCTCTTTCTCTCTCTCTCTCCCTGCCTGTTTATCTGTCTGCCTGTCTCCCCCTTTTCTCTCTATCTCTTTTTCACTGCCTTGCTGCCCCCCCCCCCCGTCCTTCATTAGAATACTTCATAAGATGTTGATGTAAACAGTAGTAGTTGGTATAAGCATACTACAAACAATAACAAAGATAAATAGTTTTTTCGGAAACAGTGATTGCCAATTGGAACTATTTTTATTTTAAATTATTTGTAATACCAAAAGATACAATTCTGAAATGAGCATTGATCAAATGGAAGTAATTTGAGTAATAAGACAGTACAGATCACATAACTGAAACTAAATTATTCAAGGAATCGCCCGTAGTTTACTTCAGCGTAGAATTACATAAATGGAAAACAAAACTGGTAATTTAAACTTCAAGTGAAGCAATGCAAAACTGAAATCAGTTACGTAATACGGAAAGAGATAATAGGCCTAGAAGTGATGGAGTTCATTGTGCCTTTAGAAGTGAAATTGTCGTTAAATATAAATGATAAAAGAGAAAATGTGGCGCCGTCGAGGCGTTTAGAAGTTGGACTTAAATAATGATGCTCAAATAGAAATAATGTGGAATAACCTTTAGAAAAATGGGGGGGGGGGGCTAAAGGGGCCCGCCCCTAAGATCTCGGCAACCGAAACTCCAGTCGACTCACAATTTGGCATGGTGATAGATATCATGAGATTTACAATATTGCATAGGTAGAATATTTTTAATAAGAACGTGCTAATTATACCTAATTAGTTATGCAGAAAAAAATCTCTCTCTATCTCTCTCGCTCTTCATCCCCTCGTCAACCGAGTCCTCCATTTCTTTTTCCTCCTCTTCATCCTCCTTATCCCTTTCTTCGTCATAATCGTCCTTCCTCATTATACTTCATATATTGTGGATATAAATGGCGCTTTCAAGGACCTTAGTGCAGCGAAACCGACGATTCTTCTTTACAATTCATAATCGTCAGCATTAACAGGGAGATGAGACCTCCCTGGAATTAACGAATTAAGGTTATTCTCCTTCTAAGCTTCTTCGTGTTTAATGAACCATGGACCTAATTCACAAAGGAGGTTTGTCGACAAACCTTGGTTTTCGTACGTCATATGACGCGTTTTACGCGTTTTTTAAAAACCTGGGTTGTAAAGAACGAAAGGAGGTTTGGCGAAACAAAAGGAGGTTTGAGCTCAAACCTTGGTCTGAGCTCAAACCTTGCTTTGTGAATGAACCAGGGTTTTTGTTTAAGAAGGGGCGGGGACGGTAATCCCCCTTTCTTCCTCTCTCTCGCCCTCTGTGTCCATGTCTGTTTATCTGTCTGCATATTTCCCTGTCCTTCTCTCTCTCTCGCCCCCACCCCCCCCCCCTCTCTCTCTCTCTCTCTCTCTCTCTCTCTCTCTCTCTCTCTCTCTCTCTCTCTCTCTCTCTCTCTCTCTCTCTCTCTCTCTCTCTCTCTCTCTATTTTCCCTGCTGGTCTGTCTGCCCCTCTCTCTTTCTCTCAACCTTTCTTCCTACCTCTATATCTGTATCTCTTTCTTGTAGATCCCTATTGTACATGTATTTTGTATTTTTCCAAGATTGGTAGTCACCGTTCTTGTATTCCGCAGTGTTTCCATGAAGTATCATGTGAAGTAGTTAACGAATCAGGGTGTCATATCATGCAACGCCAAAACTAACTCGTGAGGTACACTCTAAAATATGCTTCCACGGTATTATCGGAATGGTATTACAAATGCATTCCCTCCCGAAGTTATATATATCCCTTTATATATTATAACTAAATGGATGCACGTTAGCGCTCCGATGGAGAAAAGGAATAAAATAAGACTCAGATAGCTAGCATGCATCTCCCACTACCTGTATCAGAAGTCAATTTTAAAGGCATCGTTTAACAATGTTAAATCTGCGATGCACGTCCATATACGTGTTATCAGTTTCTGCGACATGGTGTAATATTGAAGCCCTAAAGAAATTGCGCTTGAAATTATCAAAAAGTGCCTTAAAAAAATAAAAAATCTTTGAGTGACCGGATTTACCATACTTGTTTTCCCCCAATAGACTGTAGTGTTATGAAAACCGTTAGGAAATCGCACAATTTGATTTCGATTTCCAATCATAAATATCTTGGTAATCAGGCAGGCGATCGGCTTTTAAAAGTCATGGGGTTCCTGACTGACCTAAATGTTTATAATTATCATTGAGGCATGAGCAGAATCTAGGATTTTGTTTTCAGAATCTAAGACAATGTTACCCAATCCCTTTAAATGGATTCTGCCTGTAGATGCTGGCTGGTGACCCACCCGATAAAGGTAAGGATGTCACAGTACAGCCGTCTTCCTTCCGCTTACTGTTACATCCTTTCCCTCCAATCCATGAACATGAGTCGTGTTACAGTTTATTTAAAGGTACCTTCTTGGTCTTGGAAATGGTAAAAAAAAGTGTTTTTCGTTTGTGAACCGAAATTAGTTGGTTTAAAGCCCCACTGTCCTACTTGTAGCTACTTGCTCCCTCTATATAGAAAACTTCCCCAATCGGTGCATGTTGGTGCCCCATGATCCTCTTTTTCTTATGTTAAATGAGAGCTGAGTTAATGAGATAGCCACCTGTCACAGTGACCTCGCTGGCTCGCTGGGTGGTCTAATCCCTTCTAGCTGAAGTAGTAAAGCCTGCCTTTAGAGGTACCGTCTCGGTCTTGGAAATGGTAGAAATTGTGTTTTATCGTTTGTGAACCGAAATTAGTTGGTTTAAGAATTAAGACCTAGTCGATAATAACAATAATGATGGTTGGATATTTACATGTAGCTCTCTCTCTCTCTCTCTCTCTCTCTCTCTCTCTCTCTCTCTCTCTCTCTATGAAACAAAATGTTCATGTAGCCACGCTACCCCGATCAAGGAATTTCTTCCTATACAAGGTATCCATTCATTTTAGGTGGTGCCGTGGCAGAGATTCAAACCTCGTACTATGCGCCCTTGGCCTTGTCCACTAGACCACATCACCTGAGATAATCACAATTGTATGCGCTTGAATGAGGACAAGGTGGGTCAGGGTTCCCTGTCCAAGTAGACAATCTTTTTCCCTCAACATGATATTTCTCCAGTTACCATATTTTAGTGTCTGAACTAGATTGGCCAGGAGTGATTAGACCTCCCTGTGTGGTCACTTACAGGTTGTCATCTCATCAAATTAGCTCTCAATTTACATAAGAAAAAGAGGATCATGGGGACCAACGGGTACCGCTTAGGCATTGTTTGTTATAAAGAGGGCGTAAGTAGCTTTACAAGTATAGTGTATACCCGCCCTAAAATACGATTACTCCGGATATAAACAGGATGTAAATGTAGGAGAATTGGTCCGCCATTTTCCTTGAAAGGTAGAATGCTTTTGCGTTCTATTTTTAAATATTGAACAAAAACATGCATTAATATGTTTTTTTCTAGTAGTACAACGCGGATTCGAACTATGCTAAATAATTATTATCATCACTTGGGAGTGGATGGAAGTGCCTAGCAACCATTTTGGGTTTTTGCTCTTTGACAGTAGTTCTGTATCCGATATTATACTAGGCCCGTATAGGACCTCAACATACATTGTATATATCCACTAGCCTTCAATGGTCGCCCTAACATTGACCACTGTTTGATATAGGCATACACTTTGTACTACCTTGTATTTGTCTGGAAAACTTAAACACCATATTAGGGTATTGTGTAACAACCCTCAATTGGTACAAGGCAATAAAACCAGGTATTGGACATGCAAGGGAGGTGTTTCACAAAGACTACGATCGACTTTGTGTTGGACTGAACTATCGCAGGCCATGCATGGCACTGGTTGCTCTCACCATTGGTATCTCAATTATGATCTTTATATAATATTTATTTCTTCAATAATGAACTATCAAAAAATGTAAATTCTGTAGATTAACCAATGCCAGTAAATGATGAGAGAAAATAGTGGTATAAACGGCGTGCCATAGATATGTACAACTTAAAGTCGATCTTAGTCTTTGTGAAACACTCCCCCGGTGTTATAAAAGCAACAGAGCGAGCTCGTAGACACAGCCAATTATGTAGCGAGTCCAAAGTCCGCACGGGGTCGCCCATGCAGTATATAGATTTACATTGTGGACTGAGTTTTTTTTCTTTTCAAATTCTATATACAAACAATGTAAATACATGTATTTTTAAGAAAGAAAAAAATCCAAATGCTCATTGATCATTAAAGAATACCGCCATTATTCCTCTTTTATTCGCTAAATTCCTCCTTCAAGGGTAATAGAAATGGGTAGAGTTTATGATTGTCAAAGTCAAGAGGCCGGGGGAAAATGTCATTAGTTTACTTTACAGTATGCGTCCGACCAGATTTGGACTTTATTCTGTCAAATGTGTAGTGAGCATGGTAAAAGGTGTTAATATTGCATAGGGAAAAACGTCCAAGCAGAGAATGAAAAATGTCTCCAAATGTTTGCGGGCTATGAATAATGTTTGGGGTTTTTTTATTAGCGAAAAAATTATGGATAATCCCAGACTTTGATTTATACAGTGAAGAACATTTCTCTTAATGTCCAATTTTGCATTAGGTTCATGGTGAAACTAAGCTTTTGTATGGCAAATACAGTGACATATAAAATAAAGAAATGCATACATCTTTAAACCAAATTGACATACAATAATGATATTACATTAAGCAAATAAAGTTGCAACAATTTTATGTTTCATCAAAATAACGTGAGAATGATATTATTCTCTAACTACAGTTAGAATATGTATTTCTTTCCTTTACCTTCTTTCCATAAAATGATTGTGAAAATATATTTTAATCATTGATGTTTAAGGTAAAAGTAAGCATTCCATGACAATTACGTAAGACAGAAAATTCAAAACCTACAATAACAGCGTAATATAAAGCCTCTGATTGTAAAAGCAATGGTTTATTGGGTTGAGAACTAAGTTTTTCTTACCTTTTTCCATAAAATGATTATGAATATATGATTTGTTCTTGAAGGATAAAGTTTATATCCGCCCTGAATCGTGTACATCAATCGCTTTGACTTTTTATATCGTTCGATAAAGTTCTGAGAAATTGTTAACTTTATCTCTGAATAAGAACTCATATTTCCAAAATGATTTCATGAAAATAGGTCAGAAAAACCTGTTCGAACTTTATACCCTACAGTGAATATTGCTTGATTTACACACAGGTTATGTGACTCGCTTTTGCTTTATTAATTTACATAGCCTTAGTCGATGCCACAGACTATATAGATTACACAGGATTAACGCATACTTCAGTAGGCTGGCAGGCATGGTATTTTCTGAATTTTTCTTTTAAAGCCCCACTGCACTACTTAGAGCTACTTGCGCCCTCAATATAGCAAACAATGCCTAATCGGGGCCTGTTGGTCCCCCATGATCCTCTTTTTCGTATGTTAATTGAGAGCTAATTTGATGAGATAACCACCTGTCAGTGACCTTGCAGGGAGAGAATCTCCCCTTGCCAGACTAGTATAGACGGGCTTTAAATTAATCGCCTTGTAGCAAGATGAATATTTTTACCCGTAAATGTGCTCCTATGACAATAGCCCCCTTTATTTCGTCGGAGGTATAGGGTTAGGGTTATGGTTATTGTTCCAACTGGGTTTTAGGTTATGTTTGGAGTTTATGGGGCCAGGGCTAGGGTTAGGTTAGTATGCCAGCACATACACCCATTTAACATTTTACAATAGTTATTAACGCCTTCAGCACAGGCTAGACCAGTCAGGTCTGGCTGCGTGTGGCTAAAGTACAGAGTCTATTATCGTAGTCTCATAATGCGGACACTGTTTAATTAGATATGTATAACTATTGCCAAGGGTTTGTGTCTGCACGCAAGGTTTGGTATCGTGTCGGGTCCAAGGATTGGAGTGTAGAATTCGGTTAGTTTAGGAAATTGACGCAGAGCAATTAATATGCTGTAGAAGCCGGTGACGTGCAACCTTCACAACTGATAGCAACAATCAAACTTAGAACGTTATTGTTAGATTTAAAACCCTTAGCCGTTTATGCACATTTTGATTGAAGTACCATTTGTACCTTTCCCGGATGATAAAGGGACGTGCACTCACAGTATGTGCACTCAAGTCTTGAAACTCGGTGCTAGCCAAGTCAGAATTGTATCCCATTGTCTCTAACTCAACCATTAAAATGCCGACCTTAAAGATAAATTTGAGTTCTGGTTATAAAAAAGAAAATGAATTCTCACAGAATCAAACGAAACTGAATGTTCAAGATTACAAATAAATGTCATGTGCAAAACAATTTTGGAAGAAAATGTATACTGGCTGAGTAATGAGCTGTAGAAAGATAAGGAAATCAAGGTAGGTATAGCCCCGACACACATAGTTCCATATACAGTGCTTGTTACTTTACCAAGACTGGGCCAAATTTATTATGATTTTGATGACTCCAGAACCTTGCAGTGCACACCAATACTTACATGCTAAATGGTCAACTTTTTCTGATCCATTCCACACCTTTTCTTTCACATTCCAATCGCATGACCAGAACTCACCTTTATCTTTCATGGGCAGGAACTGATTGAACACGATGCATGTGCCTTGCATTTCCCTTTTAATTGGTTGTTCTGCCTTGATGCTTTAATATATCGAATTTAATATTCGAAGCATTAACTTTAAAAATTGAGAATAATTCAATTCAATAATTTCAGCAGTATTCAACGATGATACTATTCTGCCACTCCATTATGCACATCAAGGCAATTTATGTTCTGTGCATGTTTATAGAGTATTTTGTGTGAATTAACCATGACACAACAGCAGTGCAAATTATTACCATTAAGTTGTCAAGAAATTGATTTTGATATCTTTTAAAGGACAAGGGAGCATGTTTTTGACGAAAATATGTTTTTCGTCCCATCTGTCATGACACTACAAAATATATAATGCAGGCCTCGTATTGTCATCCTTTCTCCCTCTGACTTACCCCCCCCCCCTTTTCTCTCTCTCTCTTCCCCTCTCTCTCTCTCTCTCTCTCTCTCTCTCCCTTTCTCTCTCATTCTACTGGTTTATCGTTTATTCTATGTATTATTTTCTAATCTAGACTTGTAAGTTCTCATTTTCTCCTCTTCTTCTTTCTTTATTTTCTTCTTGTTCTTTTTCTTGTTATTCTTCCCCTTATCCTTTTCTACTATACTGTTACTACTGCTGCTGTGATTAGCCTACTACTACTACTACTACTACTACTACTACTACTACTACTTCTACTACAGTACTTCTCCTCCTCCTCCTCCTCCTCCTCCTCCTCTACAACTACTACTACTACTACTACTACTACTACTACTACTACTACTACTACTACTACTAATACTACTACTACTACTACTACTACTACTACTACTACTACTACTACTAATACTACTACTACTACTACTACTACTACTACTACTACTACTACTACTACTAATAATAATAATAATAATAATACTTCTATCACCACCACCACTACTACTACAACAACTGCTACTACTGCTGCTAACTACTATCCGTCTCTTTCTCTCTCTCTCTCTCTCTCTCTCTCTCTCTCTCTCTCTCTCTCGCTCTCTATTTGAGTATATAACACGGATTCATATGAACATAGTTGTTAATGGCTGAAAGCATGTTTTTAGGTTATCATGGTTATGAATACTACATCCCTTTCCCTGTTGCGTGCGATTTTTAGGTCATGTATATCAAATTTGAAATGGGAGTCGAAAGAAAATATACAGAAAGGTAAAGCGGAAGCGCAGCGTGAAGAGGAAATAAAACCAGGAAGAAGGTTTCGAAATTGTAGTAGTCACTGATTATTCAGTACCTAGATAAATGACCTCACCTTTCAAAGTCTCGTCCTCTTCCTCTTGAAAATTTGTTCATGATATTATTGTTGGGCGATGATATAACTGGAACTTTACCAAGGGTATAGTCTCTTGATTAATTCTGCTCTTCGTGGGGGGGGGGGGGCATATTTTATACCTGCATCTACTATTACCCCAATATTTCCAGGTACCCATTTAAAGCCCCACAGCACTACTTACTTGCGCCCTCTATATAGCAAACAATACCTAATCGGTGAACATTTTTCTTATGTTAATTGAGAGCTGATATGATGAGATAACCACCTGTCATTGACCATGCAGGGAGGTCTAATCCCTCCTGGCCAAACTAGTGCCGTGGGCCTTTAATACACATTAGTCAATAGGGACACATGTGGCTAAAACACATTGTCCAAACATATAAGCACTAAGCATGAATACCTGCCCAGAACCTCACATATGAGAACCAATTAAGAGCCTTCAGCAATATACCACAGTGTAGTTTTCTATGTCTCGAAGCAGGACGTTTTTGCTGTATGATTATGTTTTATTGCGGTTCGTCTATTTTACTAACACTTTGTAAAAAACTGTTGACATTTTGTTTTCTTGGAAAAATAACTTTACTTAGTGATCATTTATTCATTCAGTCTTATTTAGTACATGCTATGGTAGCCGGTAATTTCTTAAAATATGTATACTGTTGTTCTTTGATATGACCCCAGTATGTACATCTGGAATGATTTTGTTCCATGTGTTCCTTCCGTTTGAATTAATTTCATGGAACCATACCTATTCGCTTTTCCGTCATTCCAACAGGCCGCCACAAAAGGAACGGCACCGACCCCCAACAAAAAATACGACTACTCGACATACCGACTATCCTCGCCGCTAACCGAAATCAAATCGGAGTACGATGTGGTGGTTATCGGATCCGGATACGGAGCATCAATCGCTGCTAGTCGGTGCGCTCGGGCCGGTCAGTCGGTGTGCGTACTGGAGAAAGGGAAGGAGTGGTGGCCGGGAGACTTCCCCGAGAGCGAACTCAAGTCCGTCAACGAGTTACAGGTGACGAGGCCGGGACATAAATCTGTATTTGGTGAGAGACGATTTTTTTTTTTTCTTCTTTAGATTAAGAAAAAAAACGTTTTTCGAATTCAGATTCAAATTCAAATTCAAATCCAGGTTGGTAGAGATCAGAATATCCAGTATCGTTCTGGACTTTGAATGAAGTTGACATTTTAATACCATAGATAATAATAGGCGTATACAGCACATAAATATATTTCAAGGAATTTACAGGGGCGCCATGGGGGGGGGGGGTCGGAAAGCATCGGAGAGGGAGACAGGGGGCTGGTTTCTGAGTTGGCATCCATCCATAACCCCTGACATAGCCATTCACAATATGTGGTGGAGAATCACTTTCTAATTCAAAAAAAAAAAAAAACAGGAAATTATTAATTGTCAGAAATGTAACAATCCAAAATCTCAACAAATAATTTTAAAATAGAAGGTTAGAGGCGCTTATTCCTTTGAAAACCAAAAAGCTCTTGAGTATTATTGTAAATTAAACGCACAATTTTCACCTGAGAGATTGCATTTTCGTAACGTTTCGTTTAATTTCTTTTCCAATTTCCGTGTTCGTTGGCGTCCAGGCAAAGAGACGGGTCTGTTCGACATGGTGGTCGGTGCCGACGTCAGTGTCCTCCAGGGCTGTGGACTGGGAGGGACGTCTCTTATCAACGCCAATGTCGCTCTCGAATGCGACAAGCGGGTCATGGATGATGAGGTAATGATGATGATGATGACGATGGCGTCGATGGCGGTGGTGGTGATGATAAAGATAATGATCATAATAATGATGATGATGATATCATTAGTACATGTATTATTATCATTATTAGTATTACTCTTATTATTATTAGCATTATCTGTAGCATTACTGTTGGTAGATTTTAACTTTATTTCACTATTATATTTATCATTAACATTATTATTATTATGGTAATTTGATGATGATAGTAAATGATAAAATGAATGATGTAGAATTCTGGAAAAAGTAGATGGGGACGTTTCGATGCCCGTGCCCATGTTCAGTGCCGAATTTGACTGTGTTCGTTTGCGGAAGGTTTTTTCTTTTCTTTAAGAATTACACAAAAAAAGAAAAAGAAAAAAGAAAGAAACTAACAAATCACACACACACACATGCAAACAAACAAGCACACGCGATGGAGTTATCAAATTACATTAGATATCATTATTTGGTTAGACAATGAAAGCGAAAAAGTAAAAGTGGAATACAAGTTGAAAATGTTTAAACCAAACAATTATCCATTAGATTTCATTTCCTCTTTCGCTCTTTGGACTAAAAAACAAGAAAATAAATCTTGAAGTTAAGTTACACTGAGAGTGATACTATCAATAATTGAATAGAGGGAGAAACGGATAAAGGAGAAATAGAATATTTCCTTGAAATATAATAATGGTACATTTTGATAGATTGAAAGAACACGATAGTTTCGCTTACTCTCAGTGTGGTTATTTCTTCATAAGTACCCATCAGCTTATGTACAGTTTAAAGCAAAGGGAAGTGGTTCCTTGTTAAAATTGTCATATATAATATGACACTCAGTCAGTTGGGCCTTTTAGGACAGAAGATATCAATGCACTTTAAAGGGAGATAGTCGTCAGTTTCCATGTGCAGAACGTCATAATACGCTGACACCAGACTTGGTGGAAATACCTCCAATGGATGTTTAATGGGTGAATAAGTCGAGCACACAGCAGACCCGTAGTCCCATCAAGAAGAGAGTCTTTGGTGAGGGAAATTGAAGATAATGACTTTTCCATATAGGGTGATTGGTGGAAAATACAGATCATTTATACATAAGGCCCATTGATCATCGAAGCTAAGGCTAATCCTGGTGATTTCTTTTAGCAGTGACCGGCGCAAGAACAATCTATACCAGTGTTTAAAGGGTTGTCGTGGAGCTAGTCAAAACCGGTAATGGGTAATTATTAAAAACTACTGTGCTGCACAAAACGATCTTTCTGTTGATCTGAGTCTATTTCTTTTTGCAAAATTGGCAAACTAGCGAGCGTGCAAAGAAGCAAATAAAGCAATCGAAATGTTTTTATCAGATTTTCGTAAGATCATAATAGGTTCAAATGATTTTAAAGTGTAATTTGATCATTGTCATTTTATATACTATCATTTTGTTCCTTTAGCGCTGGCCTAAAGAGATCCGCGAAGACTTGGCCATGCTGTATGGTGATGACAGACAGCACGTGTTTGACATGTTGAAACCCGAGAGGTATCCTACAGACTTTCCAGAACTTGCTAAAATGAAGGCAATGAAGCTAGGAGCTGCCCGTCTCATCAGGGATATCGAGGATCTCTCTGTACCCGATGTTTACAGCAGGTAAGGTTGATTTTCAATTAGAATTCCATACTCATGTAACGGCATGTTGCCTAGAATAGATCAAACAGTTCTATAATAATTTGTGATAGTAAACCTTTCAGAAAGCAGAGGGGGGCAAGCCAGAAAATAAAGATTTTGATTGGACTGCCGAGTGCAAATGAAGATAATAACTGTATCTTAGTTAAACAAAAATAAAAAATATCACACGGTGGTTTATTTTGCTCATATTACGGATATAAATCTGTTCAAAATAAAAATATGCTTTCATCTTTTCTCGTATGAATTTCTTCCATAAAAAGCTTTAATTCAAATACGATCTGGGTTAAAAGAGTGTTAAACTTTAAAGGACAATAATCTGTGTACCTATGATCATAGAAATGTTGCAAGGGTGTCAATAGACTTATTCACATTTAATAATAACAGCATATCATTTTGAAAATATTTTGATTAAAAACTACTCTTTCGTGTTCCCTCATGTTATCCCTATACCCTTGTACATACATTACGTAAAGTTGATCTGGTAACTGGTAAGTTATATTTAAAAAATAAGATAATAAGATAATATTCCTTAATTGTACAAACAGCACAATCCTTTCACAGAAAACATTAGTTTACAATAAAATGGGGAAACCCTCTTCCCCAAACAAACAAAAAGACAATGATTCGTCAAAAAGGACCACAATATTACTCTGGAATGAAAATATGCCATTTTGTTACAGCGTACCCCTCTATGTGAACTTCAAACACGCGGAGAAGAACGACTTCGGAATCCCTCAGCCAGCGTGCAACGGGTGCGGCAATTGCGTCGGAGGGTGCAACGTAGGTGCAAAGAACACCCTGAACTTCAACTACCTGCCAGACGCGAGGACATTCGGTGCCGACATCTTCACGCAGGTGGGTGGCTTATTTTTCTCTTGAAAAGAAAAAGGGAAGAGGGTTGAGAGATAAGCTGGGGGAAGATAAATACCACTGTTTCTTGTTAGCTCACTAATGATTGACAGATGATGTCACAAGATGAATGATCTGGGGCTTAGGGTGGAGCTTAGCACGTCTGAGAAAAATTATTTACCAAATATCTAAAAGAAAACTATGAAATATATTTAGGTGTTTGAATAACAAAATATGAGTTGTATGCAGCCCTGCACATCAACGGGAATCAAATTGTATTTGGATTTAACCAGACGTATAAATGCTTACTGTGTATCGCCCTTTCGAATGATACAAAATATGGTATTTGTTCAAACAAAAAGTTTAGAGTAAATCGCATTAGGAAAACGGTCATTATAAGAATTCCGCCGAGTTTCCGCATTTGTTTAGATCGCTTTTCGTCCCCTTTACGTCCTTTTTTTTTCTTGAAATTTTGCAAGCTTTGTCGGAATTTAAAAATATGTCAAGGGGGCCATTTCAGACGCCATTTTACAGTCTTCATGATAATGTTAGTAAGGACAGTCGTTTGTGCCACAACGCGCGTCATCACGTTTTCTTCATGGCATCCAAATCCCATTGGTCCCTTTCTCGATCAAGGCTTAATCTCTAAGCATCCCACTATCCTATATGCTACAGGCTTCTAACAAATTCCTCTATATAGTCCGAGAAGGGCTCTATCGTCCGCCACATGAAATCACGGGCGTCAACGCATGCAAATCGTTCTAGTACGATTATAGTACCAACCATCTTTTATAATACGATTGCAGTATCAGTATCTTTTGCTGCCATTCTATCTCTCTGACATCTTCCTCTTTCTATATTATATATACCTTTCAAAATCCCGCCTCTATTTCTATTTCTCAAACCTCTCTCATATTTTCTCCCATTCTCTTTGTTTCTCGCACCATGCAGACAAAAGTGAAAGCCGTCCTTCGAGAAGAGTCTAAAGGCATGTGGAAGGTGTTTTACGAAGAGTTGGTCCAAGATGTCTTCCATGTGGTCGAGCAGACGGTACGGGCCAAGATCGTCATCTTTGGAGCTGGGTCCCTGGGATCCACCAATATCTTGATGAACTCTGAACAGCGCGGTCTGCAACTGTCTGATAGGCTGGGAGAAGGCTTCACGACAAACGGTGACGCGCTGAACTTTAGCTACAACACGGCGCATAAAGTCAAATGCGTCGGCGTCAAAACGAAGGATGTGAAACCAGGGCATGGGCCAGGACCGTGCATTGCATCTGTCATTGACATGAGGCTCCCTAGTGCCCCATTGGATGATGGGTATGTCCTTGAAGATGGGACACCACCTGTTGCTTGGGAGGCTCCCTTGAAGATCCTCCTGAAGACCACACCTGGATTGAAACTCTCACATGGTAAAAACACTCGTGAAGCACTACGTGCTATATCAGGCAAATCCATCAAGCACACTCTTTCTGTACTGTCCATGAGCCACGATTCTGCGGATGGCAGACTCATCCGTGATAAGGCCAGTGGGCGGGTCACGGTGGATTTCCCCATGGTTGGAGGTGGAGCTAACTTCGAGAAGATGTTTGAGGGGTCGAAGGAGTTGACGGCTGCCTTGGAAGGACATCACATCGCAAACCCATTCTGGAAGGGTATGTTGAGTGAGCTGAGGAACACCAAGGGTGTCATCACCGTTCACCCATTGGGTGGGTGCTGCATGGCTGAGTCTGGCAAGGATGGCGTCGTCAACCATGCCGGCCAGGTGTTTGTTGGAAATTTCGATAACGTCTATCCTGGGCTTCTTGTAGTTGATGGCGCAATCATGCCACGCAGTCTTGGCGTTAACCCAACGTTGACCATTGCCATGGTTGCTGAACGGTGCATACGTCTTCTAGCATATAGAGAGGGATGGAGTATAGACTACCCGTCAAGAAGAAATATAGGTTGGTTCATTTCTTTTATTGATACTGTCATTTAGATTTTTTAGAAATTAATTTTTTTTTTTTATTGAGCGATCATTTTCATTAATAAATATGATGAAAAAGTCGCTCTGTAAGCATTTTCTCTACCCTACCTCTTTTCTATCAATAATTATATATGAACATGTAATTAACCTCATCATTTCTAAGACGATTCGGTGCTGTTGAATTGTGTTGCTTATGCTGTTACTTTTTTTTGTTTTTCTTCAACTTTCAATCTAGCTACGGTATACAGGAAGACCAAACCCGGATTCCGCTTCACGGAAAAGATGAGTGGAAAACTGATAGTTGATGGAGAGAAGATACCAATTTCCTTCCAGCTAACCATCGAGTCGAAAGACATCTACCATATGCTGAAGCTTGATCCGACCCACCGCGCCGGCATCTACGGCATTGTGAGTTGTGATGCACTGTCGAAGACTCCCCTGACAGTTTCTGATGGCATCTTTCAGCTGCTCGCCGACAGCGAAGACAAGGTCGAGACCAAAGAAATGGTCTACAAAATGACTTTGACTAACCACGAAGGGGAGGTATTCTACTTCAAGGGTGAAAAATGCATCCAAAAGAATAGAGCTCTGGAAACGGGTTTGACGGATACAACGCATATGACCTTCACCGTGACAAAAGGTTCTGGCACGTCCGTGGAGACAGTCGGTGAAGGTAAGCTGAAGCTCAAGATCCGGGATTTCATGAGGCAGCTCACAACCATCGAGGTGACCAATTGCCATAATGCGATTGAGAGATTGAGGTGGAAGACCAGGTTCTGCAAGTTTTTTGCCGGTTCCCTCTGGGAGGTCTACGGCATCCTCAGTCCATCCACAACGCCCTTTGACCCTGATGCACCTCCGAGGGAAAGACGACTTCTCAAAATGGATCAAGACAAGATTGTCCCGATGAAGCTCCCTGCAGGAGATGGCATACCGCTTATCCTCACGCGATACAGAGGGGGAGAGAAAGGTCCCATTCTACTGCTTCACGGGCTAGGTGTGTCAAGTCGCATCTTCACAATCGATACAGTCAACAAGAACATGGTGGAGTACTTGGTGGAGAAAGGATTTGATGTGTGGTCTTTGGACATGCGATTCTCAATATCACTACCGTCTCACAAGGATGGATGCACTGTCATAGATGCGGCAGAGTTCGATGTTCCGGTTGCCATTGACCTCATTCTTCAGACCACCAAAGTATCCAGCGTCCAGGTCTTTGGTCATTGCATGGGATCACTGGTGATTTTTGCCTCACTCCTCGGAGGTTTTGTCGCTAAGGAGAAGATTAGCAGCATCGTGTCTTCTCAGCTTGGGTTTGTCATCAAGCCCACTGCAGCGTCCACCACTGGTCCAAATTTCATTGGCGATGGCGTTGATGCGTACACTGACACCAACGAAAATTGGATGGGAAGAGTCTTCAATGTCGTCTCAGATAGATATGCCAGTTTCGTGACATCCGCCAATGAGCACTGTGACAGCCACGTATGCCACCGTGTGACGTTCTTGTACCGACCGTCATGGCAGCACGAGAATCTAAACAAGAGCACCCACGACACCTTGCATGAATGGAACGGCTTCACCAACAAGGATCTCTTCAAGCACCTTTCCAAGTGTGCTAACAAGAAGATGCTGTGCAACCGTGATGGGGACAAGCCTCTCATTCCGAAGTTCGATTCCAAGAACTACCTGGAGAATCCCGAGTACCAGGAAGCCATGTCACGTCTTGATGTTCCCATCCTCTTCTTCACGGGAGAGCGGAACAGCCGATGGGACAAGAAATCGATCCAACGGAGCCATCAAAGATGCCTGGAGAGTCACCCCGACCAGCACTATGCGTGTCTTATGGTGCCTTCCTATAATCATTCAGACTCTATCGTTGGCAAGAACGCGGAAAATGATGTATTCCCACTCTTCTTGCCATTCCTCGAGAAGTACTCAATACCACACGACATGTCAGATGGCACATCTTTAAGCAGCCTTTAGTTTGTATCATGGCGACAGGGCTGTATATGAAGAGTTCAAATGTTTTTTTAGTTGTGATTTCAGTATTATTATTTAAAAGGAAAGGTTTGCTACTAAATTTGAATAAATTTCATTGATTTTATTAAGAAAATATGAAATTTTTCAGGTACAATATCATGTTTCATTCCAAAAGGAGCTAAATCCACGAGAAAAAAAAAATCTAAAAATTTAGTAAAAATCAGGAAAAACTAGTAGATTTTTTCTTAACATATATTTTTGGTCCAGGGTGACACCTTTAACATATTAAACAACATTAAGGTACGTGGCTAAAGGGAAAGTGGAGAAATAAAAAAAGTCGATTTACTCAGAAGTACCCAAAGTGGATTTAGCTCCTTTTGGAATGAAACTCTTCATATACATTTTATTTTCTCACTGAATTTGTATTTTCTTCTTTCAATCTGTACCAAATTCAGGCTCTATTTATTTTCCCATTATTTGACATGTTTGACTATTCCATGTTTCGAAATCGGAGACTGAAATGGCAATAATCGTATGACACCTCGGCGTAGGCGTACTGGCACAGTTGTGCCAGGGGGGGGGGGGGCTGACATATTGAACACCAGTTTCAGTCTCTATACTTTGGAGTAAGCGAAGCAAGGGAGCGAAATTTGTTACCTTTTAATACAGATATCTAATTTTGTCAAAAACAAGACATAAAACTATATTTGAGAACTACTATCTTGCTGTCCACATAATATAAGGTGCCCGAATAATGGCAACATGTCAACATCCTCAGAGGGATGCAGCCCCGCAGCCTCTTGTCTCCTACGCCCTTTTTATTTACCGAGATGCATTTCTGCACTGTATACATATTACTTTTTACAATTTTGCAAAACGGTTATTATTCCCTAATAGACACATTTCCTATGATTATATTGTCATCACAATTAAAATTGGTGTATATTTGTTATGTTGACGAAAATATTTTATTCGTAAATATGTTAAGTCACTGTTATCTTGAATATGATACTTGGTCATGGGTTAAGTCATTCATTGTGTTTTAGTATCAAATTGATAAAGACTTCGTTCTTTGTACCCTAGTTCTTGGGGGCGGCATGGATAGAATTTTAATCAATATATTGCATGTGTGTATATTTAGGAATATATCAAATTAAACTGTGCGAGGTAAAAGTAATTATGCAAAGAAGATATACTGTCTGTTAAACAAAATTTCGTTCTGCGAGGGCCACTGTTTGCTTTCCATCTGTCTCGTATACTCTGTATCCATTCGTGTTTTGCTCTGTATATGCTTGGCTCTTCTACCTCCCTTAAAACGCCCTATAATTCTACTGTCAACACAATTCCGATTGGTGCATAATTATATTTTATGTTGATGAATTATATTCTCATTTTATTTGTTATTATATATTTAGACACTGTTATCTTGAATATGATACTTGGCCATTGGTTAAGTCAATTCATTGTGTTTTAGTATCAAATTGATAAGATAAGGACTTTGTTCTCTGTACCCTAATTATTGGTGGCGGCATGGACAGAATTTTAATCAGTATATTCATATTGCATGTGTGTATATAAAGGAATATATCAAATTTAACTGTGCTAAGTAAAAGTTATTATGCAAAGAAAATATCCTGTCCTACTTATGCCCGAACAAAATGATGTGTATTCTTTGTTTTATAAGATTATGTCTTATTTGTATTATATAGTGATGTTTTATAACTTGATTTCACTAATGACCGGTCAAAATTATTTACTATTTACGTGTTAGGCAAAATAAATGCCCTGTCACGTGTACGCTCTCAACCAATCATTTGTTAGGATCCGCCTCATCATCTTATAATAGCAGCTTATACACGATTTTTTTTTCTCAGTACTAATATGGATAACGTATAGTTAGAATATGATTTTAAAACCTACGAATATATATAATACCTATAGCGTCTTTACATAACGGAACATGATAAACAAACGTTATTGCCAGGTAACACTTGATATTTTCTATCGAGAAAGAGGTCGAAAACTCTCATCCAACTTACTGCCAATTCTATTGATGTTGACAAATCGATTGTTTTGTATATCGCATATGATTGCTTTGTAGAAGCGTCGTACTCGAGTGGTTTAAGCACTTGACCTGAAATTCGAAGGTCGTGGTTCGATCCCCGACATGGCACTAATGTCCTTTGGCAACACGTTGATCTACATTTGCCACTCTCCACCCAGGTGTTACATGGTTACCGGGTAGAATGCGAAGGTTAATGCATGGAGATATAAGATATCTCCATGGTTAATGTGATTGAATAAGCAAGTGGCGCTTGTAAAATGGCGACTGGCCGGAACGCTCCCCAGGGAGTGGAGAATGTGCATACATCGTGTGTGGGTAAGTCTAAATCTGATGACCGGGTCAATAATATGTAAAGCGCCTAGAAACAAAGTAATAGACGGATTATGGATGTGAGCTTTTGTTATTAATAGTTATTTCTTTTCGATTTTTTTCTTCAGATAATAACGATTAATGAAACAAATATTTTGGAATGACATAAGATGGCTGTGAATTATGAAATCGACAAACTTTACGTGTACAATTATTATGCTTACATTGTGAGTATTGCATTTAATGTAAAGTCCACTTCTGTGTTATAGATATATATCAGATTTCATAAACAAATATCTTTTAATGAGCGTATTAAAGAGCATTTATGAATGTAAAACTTTTTAATTGATACATGTGTATTTTATCAACTCTCTAATCGTTGAATTCTGCCTTGCTATGAGTTATCGAAATTGAACGTATCAGCAAACTTTTCGCAAAATACTTATTTTCCAGATTAGTTAAGCCTAATGAGATTGAATAGTATATATTTTCTTATGATGTCAAACTTATACAGCAATAATGAAAACAAAGCAGTACTGTCGATGTATTTTGTATAAAAATGTTTCATGTGTCTCTAAATTTTATCAATATTTTGGGGGGAGTACAAATAGTTATAAATTATGCGGTATTTGGGATGATCGGATTTTCCCAAATTCAATAGCCTTGCAATCGTTTCCGAAAAGAAATGTAATAACATGACATAAGAGGAGTCGGTAAACTCGATTGTTGTAATGAAAAGTATCAAAGTTTTATTTGTTACAGAAACGAGCCGTGCGTATTATTACCAAATCTGATTATTTAGCCCCATCACGGCCACTTTTTGTTAAAACACACGTAGTCCCAATTTTTTAATTGATTCAATTTAATACTGGCATATTTGCTTCTAAGGGTGTCCTTTACCGTATTATGTTTACTATGTTATTTGTATGTACATGTTTCATTTTTATGGTTATAATAAACTGAACTAAAGTTAATTACCGAGTTTGATATGCTTATATATCTATATCAACCATATCGCATTCCAATGCCAATATAATCCATACTCTTGCTTATCATAGCTACTACTTTGGATTTTTCTTTTTTCCAAGTTAAGGGAAATATGTGTAAAATTAATAATTGATATAGACCACTGTCATTGATTTTTAGAATTGGGAACCTTTGGATTAGTGAACCCCCTTCATTTTCTGAGTTATTAAACTTCGAAATTATGAACCTTCGTATGAAAGAACTTTCGGAATAACTGCAACTATTATTCGGAATTATTACTTTCGGAATTATGAATCCCCAGGTGGTGGGAACGCTCAGTAAAAAAAAAATCACCTTGAACAAACATAACCTTCTTTATATCACTTTGTCTCTTTTCAACACAACACCATGACACACAGATTTATTTTTTACGATCGTTTGCTATTACACAAGCTGATATTCACGTGCATCAATTAGATCAAATAAAACAAAAATACAGACGCTATATGATTGTAGAAATGGTTTCATTATTTATTTAATTTCATTTAATCCAGGATTTTGCTTCAGAATCTGAGACAATGTTACCAAGTCACTTTAAAGGTAAAGTTGAGTTCTGGGCATGCGATTGTATTGTGAAAGAAATGGTGTGGAATCGATCAGGGTGAAACAGTTATGTACAGCATATACAAATTATTGGTGTGTACTAGCTGCAAGGTTCTGGAATTATCAAAATTATAAGAAATTTTGCCAAGTCTTGGTAAAGGAACAAGCACTGTACACAGAACGATGTATATATGGGACTAAAAAACATGTGGCATACAAATCAGGTCTCTTATTAAGCTGTTACTTGTCATATTTAGAATATGGAGGCATTTGAAGAGCCATGCTTTTCAGGGAATATTTTTGTATCTGATGTTCTTCCACACTAGCATATATCAACAATGATAATGCTCACAAATTATTTTTCACCCACTCTCCCCAGAACTCAACTTTCTCTTCATTACCTTCTCCATGCATTGTGGGATTAACTTATAGGCTTAATCTAGCCCCAGTACTCTCCGTTTGGCATTGCTTATTTGTATCAATGGTCTGTTTTAAGGAGCTTAAAATTGAAGAAAATCGTCGCTGTTTTCACGAAGTGACGGTAGTGAAAAAAAATTGCATTCACTTTGCGTTACGATTTTCCTCACTACCGTCACTTCGTGAAAACAAGGACGAAATGTAGTACACAAAATAATCAAAGGGCTAAAGGCAAAGGGCAAGGATTCGAAATCATAAAACAATCTGAAGATGACGAAATCAATAAATTACTACACAACTTCCCAACAACCTAGAACAACCTATCATATCATGATTAGTTGTTACTCGTTTTGTTAATAGTATTTCCATGTTTATAAATATATTGAAATATTCCTTTCGTTCCGTCGTAGGCCTAGATTCCAAAATCATTTTTTCTTATAAACGGGCACATGTTTTAAATAATTGTCAAAACATGACACTTGACTTGATGATTAAAGTTCTTTGGAGCCGACTACTATTACACACAACTACCCTGATTAGAGTTTTAGTATATATACTACGGACAATCATATATATCCTGGTCCGTAATTACTCGCTACAAGCATAGGAACCTGCCTCACGTGATCTGAGAGAAGCACCTGATTGGCTGCAATTCTACCCGTCGACACGGCACGTTCCATTAGGGCTGAGGGGTAATCGGTGTGCAACCAATCGCCCGCAAAGTTCAAATTCGTCACGCCGCACTCGGATGGGAAAGTAACAGTTGGTCGGATGTGCTCGAGACTGGACGGGAACGACGCAAAGTTTGTCCCGGAATGGACAAACTGACCTAACCTTTTGAAATCCTCGACAAATATTTCGGGATAGATTTCCCTCACGGTAGGTGAAACAGTATCCCACACGTCCTCGTCCTTCACGTCGCCGTACGACCAAGCGTACAGGTGAAACTCAATGATAGATCCACCCGTCCGCAGACTCCACTCACGTGATTTCTTCTCGATCAGGTGATACTGTACGACCAAGTTGATTGGATGGTACTCGGACGTTTGTAAAATGGCGGGATGTGATGGCGAGATCTGTTTATTGAACCACACCCTAATAACCTTGTACGACGGCGCCATGGGAAGTTGCTGGAGCCTGTTTTGGATGCAGGCCATGTGTTCATTGCGCGGAAATTTTTGGCTGGTTTCTGTGAAGATCGTTTTTACGGCCGATAAGTCGGGTGCTAAGATCACATGATCATATGACCTTTGTGCTCCAGGTAATACCCCTGACACCAGGCTATCCTTGCTAGCGAACCTTAGATCAGAGACAGGAGCACTCGTCTCTATCCTGTAAAACAAAAATAAGTAGATATAAATTGGAACAATTCCGTAAAGGTGCTCGAATACCATAACATAGTTGCATTCAAAATTCAGTGATTATCCACTCAGAATAGTTACACATAAACACATATGCGCATCGTGAAAATATAGAAGTTTGAAAAAGAAACGATTCCAACAACATAACGAAAATAACTTCTAACGGTGTCTCAGCATCATTTTGTGCAATGACAGAATTAACCTTTGTGAATTTTATATATGTTTCATCACCACTGTCTTTCCCTGGTTAAACGATAGGTAAATGAATACAGGAAGTCATCCGTCTTATCATCGGGGGTAAACTTAAGGATCTTCTATGACTTCTCTTTGTCTGGATTGATATTTTCGTGCTACAAGCTTACTAACTTTTGAATTCATTTCCTCTTAGCATGCAATGTAATTGAACATCCCTTGTCTATTGTTGGTCCCCCCCCCCCACCCCCTAAATCAAGCAACACCCCTGGATTCACTTGTGCTCCACACTTCTAAGCAAATATTTAATCTGGCTCCGTTTCATGAAACGTGTGACAAGTTACAAATACCAAATAACGACTGCCACGATTCTATAACAAACTCCCCAGCAGTCAATCGAAATAATGCAGCAAATTTCAATAGCTTTTTACAATAATTATATCTGGGTATTGATACAAAGTTCTACAAAAACAGGGCCGAGTTGACTTACTTAGCGCCGAGTGACTTTAGTCTCCTTTCCCACGGGTCAAAGACAGCAGTACGATGGTCCACTGTGGCTATCGAACGTTGATCAGCCTGTAATGAGACAGGATGGAAGTACATATTATATACCTCTCTTTTGTTTGTTGAATAAATCTATGATTTTAGCCATGCCTACCTACCGCTCAATAGTTTTTTTAAAGATGCCCGCATGCCCACCTACCGGTCAATAGCCCCGGATAATGGGCCGCATCAATAAATTTTGCTGAGATCCCCATTGGTTTACGTGTAAAAAGTTTCTTTGTGCGAGCGTTGATACCATACAGTGCTTTTTGTCTGCGATGCCCGAATGATCGTTAAGGCCCGGTCACACAGCCTTTCGCGTCTGTATCGCGGGTAAAATTTCGCGATTTTTTTTTGCCCGCGGTTGCCCGTGGTGAAAAATGTGCAAAATTGGCTTACCCGCGGTTTACCCGTGGTATGCCCGCGGAACAGACGCCGGCGACTGTTCCGCGTCCTTATCGCGGGTGAAGCGCGGCGGTACCGCGGCCTACCACGCTTACACGCGGTACACACGCTAATGCACGTGGTAACAACGCGGTACAGACGCGGAACAAACGTGCTATGACCGTGCTCCACCCGCGATTACCCGCTTAAATTTCGCGTCCAATTCCGCGTGTAACCACGTCTTAACCGCGGCCGTAGCACGTCCTAGCACGTTCGTTCCGCGTCTGTACCGCGTCTTTACCGTGTGTGTACCACGTGTACCGCCCGCGATTACCCGCGGTCTAAATTTTTGGGCAGCCCAAAACTTTTTCGCGCGGCCAACCGCGTGTGAATTTCTTACCGCGTGTAACGACGGGTAAAGTACGGCTGTATCGCGTCTTTATCGCGACCTCAAAGCGTCCAACAGCGTCTGCTTCACGGGCAGAAATTTTTGGCCGTGATTCGGCCGCGATACGCCCGTGGAGGGCTGTGTGACCGGGCCTTTACATTCAGGCAACTTTCCAGCGAAGATTTACGGACAGTGTCTGAGATTTGCAGTGATGTTTTAAAGCTTACCTGTACTAGTTTATAGGAGGGATTAGAGCACCCTGCAAGGTCACTGCACAGGTGGTTATCTCATCAACTTAGCTCTCAAATAACATAAGAAAAAGAGGATCATGGGGGACCAATGGGCACCGATTAGGCATTGTTTTCTTTATAGAGGGAGCAAGTAGCTACAAGTAGGGCAGTGTGGCTTTAACCAGTCTTTACTCAAGAAAGGGATAACGTAAGAATTCTTTGTAGATTTGTTTGTGAATTCGGTATATAAAAGATATATGGACTGCTTTAATATTCAAAGCGTAGCTGTTTCTATACTGGCTCTCGGGAACGTTACATCCTGATATAACCCCTCGGTGCGCCTCGGGGTTATAGCAGGATGTAACATCCCCTTGAGTCTACAGAAACAGCGATGCCTCTCATTGAAGTCAATATATCTATACTTTGGCAGTCAAGAGTAAGATAGTAAAAACTATTTCATGGATAGAAGACGCAGTTTGTTTTTCTTTTTGTGTCTCGTACAACTGTTAAATGTCCTATATGATTGTGAAGCAGTCCGATTAAAGTTCACAACCAATCAAAAATAGTCAGAGGAGTTTCCTTGATCATCGAACAAGCCAGATAATATGAATCTTACATAATTTCAGACAAAGAACGCAGTTATCACCTTACTATCTCCAGTGAAATAAAAGTGCGAATACATCAGAATCTCTGCGGCGTTAAGCACAGTTCGCTCATTAAAAGTTACGGAGAGAGCTGGGCGGAGCACGGTATCAGCAAACCAAGTGGGCACTCCTTCTATTTCAGTCCATTCATCTAGAAGAAGAAAGACAACAAAAGCAAGAGTACGTCAGTAAAGAATAAAAAATTGAAACAATAATATTGCAAACCATGGAACAATATCATTTGAAACGCACTGACACATTGCTGTCATATTGACACAATGTGTTTCAGGTAATATAATCATGCTCTTGAAAAGCTATTGGCCCCATGATGACGTGAGAGTAGACGACAAATATCAATACAATCTTGAGTTCTGGTCATGATAGAAAATAAATTTTCAAGGAATCCAACAAAACTTACACTGAATGTTCAAGATTACAAAAAGTAATTACATGTGCAGAACGATTTTGGTAGAAAATGTATAGGGGTTGAGTAATGAGCATAGCAAGATAAATCAAGGTAAATTAGGCCTGACACCATGCGCAGTCACTATGTGCAAATGAGAGTTTGGGGTTTTATTGAAGATGATTTCAAGCAAGTTTTTGTGAGTTTTTTTCATTTTACTGGTTCTAACAATCAATCTACTTCATGATAAACAATCCTGAATGAATTATAGCCATGTTCTCTCAACCTACGATTCCCATAACAGAGCTCAAGATAAGCTTTAAATAACCCTTTTTTGTTCAAGATGTAAGAATATTTTCCTCCAAAACACGATGGAAATTCGATTGATAGTCTTCGACATACGCATCCAATATGGGCCAAAGCCGAATTAAATCCCTTCCTATTAGAAGGTCTATTGGAAGTCGATACAATTGATCGACCACTGTCTTGTCCTCCTCCTCTTCTATAAGGAGGATTCCGCCCCAGCTTATCAAATTGTCTGGGTCAAACCCTAAAGAACAGTAGCTACTAGTGTGGTGGCAAATCCAACCGTCTTCTTCATATTATTATCATCAACATTATGGTTTTCGTTGTTGTTTCTATTATTATCATCATTATAATGATATCTTCCTTCCTCTCTTGCTTTCTTTCTTTATCTCTTTTTTTTTGTAAAAAAAAAATCTGACGCTTGTTTCCAGGTGCAATATTCCATTTCCACTCCAACATTTAAACTAGGAATACAACATTCAAACTTTACCCCTGTTGACATTACTAGTCAGTAAATCTAGTGGCACAAAAATTTTAAAAAACAGTTACATTTTTGATCAAATGTGACTACGTAAGGATCAATGCGAAAAGTTTTATGTAGTACCCACCAAATGTGATGTTTCCATATCTCTGATAGACGGTGTCGTGATTGTAGTACGCAAAGAAAACAGATATACGCACGATGTCAAAAATATCTGACACCTTGAAGTTAGGGCTCTTCAGGAGCGTGGCTGCAATATCAATGAGGAAACATCAGCAAAATAAGAAGAAAAATCACTGCATAGGCTTATAATTTAAGTGGAACCATAAGATTAAACTCTCTCTCTCTCTGTACATATACATTTTCTCTGTTATTTTCTCTTCCTCTCTATCACTTCTTTTATCTCTCTCCCAAATTATATGTTTCCATTTAATATCTTCTATATTATCCTTGAATAAAGTTACCTAAAAACACTTTTCCAAGTAAAGACTTGCTGTCTAGTACATGGTCTGTAAAGCAAGCCTACACGGTGTCCGGTACCGATTTATATCCATTACTAACGAGGCGTTATTTTGCCTGTCATCAGAGATGGCAATTAGTGCATGCTAATTCTAATCAGTATTTGCAAACTTAAAGCACCGGTGTACAATATCGGGGTCTGCTCGCTATTCATAAGGACTACTAAACGTAAGGACCGCTATTCGTCAGGACCGCTATTCATAATTTGAGAAAAGGGTCATTATTCATGAGGATCATTATTCATAATGACAGTTATTCACAATCGAGGAAGAGGGTCGCTTTTCAAAATACAAAACCGGGGTCATTATTCATGGGGATCCCTATTTATAATTCGAGAAGAGGGTCGCTATTCATTATACAAGAAGAATGAATAGCGAATAGAACATGACGGACAAAGAAAGATGACAAAATATACAGTTCCTCATTCTACCCTCAATAATTGCTGTGGTAGACAAAGGAACATCCCTTCACTGCTATTATATGTGTAGAACAGGTGAATATGCATGTGACACCTGTTCTACACATTTTTACATAATAGCAGTGTACCACAGCAATTGTTGAGGGTAGAATGAGGAACTGTATATTTTGTCCGCTTTCTTTGTCTGTCATATTCATAGTATGAATAGCGACCCTCGTCAGAACGCATCGCTGACGCAGTGTTACGCCAGCAAGTAAATCCTCAAAGGCAAATGGTATAAGAAGCGTCTCCTTACAGTTGTATCACTAAATAAATATCATGACCGTTCCTTCCAAAGCTTTAATAAGGATACTCAGAAGAATGCTATTGGCGTACGTATGAATTTCTTGTTTGTTCGATCTTATGTTTGATCCTATATTTGACCTTATGTATGTTTGATCTCACTCTTAGTTTTTATTATTATACTGCATGCATGATTTATTGAATAAAGAACAGGCTGTTGTGTGTTTATTATAAGTTTTGGTAAATAATATTTTAGTCAGACTATGGTGCTCTTAGAAACACCCGTATTAAGCGTCTAATAAATATTGTTTATTATTATGTCAACTGAATGATCATAATATTACCCTTACCTATAACGTTTAAAGGATAGGGTCCTTTGCTTTCCATGACCTCATCCTTATAGTTCCTGAACCGGAAGTGATTTGCTCCCCACCTCTGAAAGTTGTCGTTGATGCCTAAGCGGTGCCGTATGTCCTTGAATGTGTAGTAATTGTAAAACCATGCTACAAAGGAGAAAAAAAACTTATTATGCTTATTTTACATATTAACTACTCCCTACTTAAAGATAAAATTGACTTCGGAATTCTGTACATGCGATTGCAATGTGAAAGAAACGGTGTAGGATCGATCAGAAAAAGTTGATCATGTAGTGGCGTGTACTGCAAGGTTCTAGAATCATCAAAATGGTAAAAGTAACAAGCACTGTAGGCCTTCACAGAAATATTTATATGGGAATACACAAACATGTGGCATAACGATTGGGTACTCATTTTTTAGCTGTTACATGTCATATTTAGAATATGAAGGCATTTAAAAGCTAGAGCAAAACTTTTAAGAATATAAAATTTTGCTGCTATTTTGTGTTCCGTCTCCTTCCCTTTCCCCTTTCATAACACTCTGTCCCCTCTGTCTTCTGCTGGTATCTTCGAACTTACCATGAAAGCCGTGGTCTACTCTGAACGTTTCCCCCAAGATGTCGACCTCAGTAGATTTAAGACGTCCTCCAAGCATTGGACTGGCCTCCTTGACAGTCACATTATAACCCCTCTCTACCAGCTCCAATGCCGCCGACAACCCCGCGAGACCACCACCTGGCACGGTAGTAATGATTAGAAATTATAGGTATGTTCTAAGGGTATAGGGCGATGTGAGTTTCGCTCAAAAGCATTCATAAAGCTAGCAACAACGTCAATTACAACAAATTGAAGAACAAACGATTATTTTTTGTTCCTGAGTTTTCATAATCCCGTCGTGTTTTGCAGTTTTGGAATTTGAACTTGGTCCAATTTGATATTTATAAATCACCGTTATCACTATGAACATGACGGACAAATAAAGAGGACACAATATACAGTTCCTCATTCTACCCTCAATGTGTAAAAATGTGTAGAACAGGTGTCACATGCATATTTATTTATTTTATTTATTTATTTATTTCTGATCTTTTGACAGGGTAGCCCATTCACCAGCAAGTAGTGGTCTTCCATGGGGCCCTGAATGAACATATTTACATCGTTTATAACATTTATACAGAACAGTTACAAAAATAATACTCGTTTGCAAAATAAACATATATCATAAACCTAGTAAACAGTAATGTCAATAGGAAAATATTAATTAAGTCGCAATTATGTGAATAAGTCATGTAAATATTACAGAACATGCACGTAGTGTATATACGGCTGAGCCATTCACAAATTACAACTTTGTTTAAACAATCTCTTAAATGAATTGACAGAGGAAGCCGTTCTCAATGAATTATCTAGCTTATTCCATTCAAATATGGAAGAAACAATTGGGCTACACTTATAACAATCAGTGTGAAATCTAGGCACACGTAAACATCCACTGTCTATTTGCCTTGTATGATGCTCATGTACATCATTAGGATTGATTAAGCCTACCTGAAGGTAAGAAGGTGCTAAGGTGCACCTGTTCTACTTATTTTTACATAATAGCAGTGAAGGGATTTTCCTTTGTCTACCACAGCAATTGTTGAGGGTATAGAATGAGGAACTGTATATTGTGTCCTCTTTATTTGTCCATCATATTCATAGTGTATCTGCCCATGCGCAGATAGTATCTCAAAGGTGGCTTATTTATATTTATATATTTATATTGGTCCGTTTCATTTATATTGGTCAGTTTACTGAAACTGTTTTATGGAATCCGATGTAGATTGTTGAACTAAAGTAAAATTGATGTGGCATGCTCTCTCATGTTGCTCTCGCTCGTTCGCTTTCTCCCTCCCCCCCCCCCCCCCCTCCCCCTCTCTCTCTCTCTCAGAGCCTAATTAAATTAAGGCTGACAACAACAGCAAAAAATATCTTGAGGTACTTGATTAGCGTTCCGCTTTCATAACGGACAGCCCAAAGTCGGTTGAAATCGAGCATAGGTCGTAAGTATAAAAGGGTTTTAACTAACCAATAATGAGTACGTCGCGGTGGACCCCAGGGGGTAAAACGATCGGATCAGTCGGATTTACAGGATCAATGTGAACGGGATCGTTAGATCCGAGATACCGCAGGAATACGAGTGCCACTGAAAGGAAATAAGGATATACTGTACATATACATGTAGTAGTAGTAGTAGTAGTAGTAGTAGTGGTTATTTTACCTGACTGCTAGGAAAGCATAAATGCTTCTTCAGTAAGCAACCAGAGGACCGACGGCTTAAGGTCCCTCCGAGAGACCTGGTAATGAGAATTAATGCCTTACCAACGGGCACGCTCTTGAAATATGTTTTTAAAAGACGAAAAGAAAGGCAGTAGCTTTAGTCTCAACTATTTCATCATCATCATCATCTAAAGTCAGGGTTTCCGACTTTCGCGCCATGATGACACTGTCTTCTTCTTGTCTTGAGCATCCTCTTTATTTAAACCAACTTTACAGCTTTCCTTCTTCACCATATTCCATGAAATTTTGGCATACACATGTCACTGTTTCTTTCTTTTTTCTCTCGTTCAAAATGACGGTCTAAATGGGACAATTTTTGTAATGAAACCTTGATATAAATTATTCATTCACCCGTTACGAGTAATTGTATTTCAATAGTCAGAATGCAGATTGCATATTGCAGATATTACGTGTTTTTAGGTAGGGCAAGTCATGTGTGTCCTACCTAATAATATATGCAATGGAACAATTCGCCTCGAGCTAATAGGCCATTTTCGTAATATAACCAAATTTAATGCATAAGTCTTTGTGAAGTGCCTCAATACAAATGATTTCATTCACCTGATAAGAATAATAGTATTTCAATAGTCAGAATGCAAACTGCATATATTAAGTGTTGCTAGGTATGTCAAGCCATAATGTTTGTCCTACCTGGCAACAACTAATGTATGCTGTTCGAATTCTGTCTATTGAAATACTATTATTCTTATCAGGTGAATGAAATAATTTGTATTGAGGCACTTCACAAAGACGTATGCATTAAATTTGGTCACATTTCGAAAATGACCTATTCAAAAAGACGTATATGTATGCATTAAATTTGGTTACAATTACGACAATGGCATATACAGTAAACCTTTACAGTTGATAGTGCAATGTGGTGGCAAATTAATAAATACTATTGATCGTGAAAATTGTATTGCTTTCTCAAAAGCAAGAAAACAATACTACTTTTAAAGATATATTCATGTATAAACACACTCATTGACTATCTGTTTGGCAAGGCATAATAAAGGAACTTCCGAGCCAGTATCTCGGCTATCATATCATAATTATATGTGACTACCATGCTGAAACGCTTCACTAATGTGTTACACAGATGCTTGCATATTTATTACGTAACTGTGAATACATAATGGTCAGGATACGTCCAAAATTAGTATGCGAGGTAGAACTATTTCGGGACAGGCTCCCAGCCTATACACAAAATATTGGAATTAAATATAATGATCCGATGAGTCGCGTATAGCTCTGGCTTGACCAGTTTGTCCATATATAGAATAGAAAAGAATAGAACAGAATAGTATAGAATAGAATAGAATTGATTGACTCTCGCGATCGACCCCCTTCTGGGGTATGAGAGTAGTGTACTCTCATACCCCAGAAGGGCTTGACATATCATGATAATGGTACAAACTAAACAAACATAGCATAATAATACAAAGAATACAACAAATTAAACAACAATAGGATCTAGCTGTTCTTGCACACAACAACGTCCATTGAAATGCTATTATCATTAACACACAAGAACTTGCCAACACAATTGGCCTTTGTTAATATCGCCCATTCGTATAGGCCCGTATAGGTCAATGATCGTACGACTCTTAACACGTACAATATAGCACAACTTCTGAAATATGATACTACAGACGGCGGAACCCGTGCATAAGGCCCTATACTTATGCGGTTCCTGTTTATTTTCGTTATTTTTTGCTTATTTTTGCAGCCAGAAACCGACGGATTGAGGGTTCAAGCCTTTATTGATTTTGCCAATTGTCGAATAAAGTTTGCGCATGCAGACTACACCAAAGCTAGCTCGTACGTCACGGTACGTGTACTGCGAGAATATGTTACCCAAAATGATGCCCGTGGTCCCGCACGTGTGCAGCGCGAATGTTACATGTAATGTTATTACATGAAGAAGACTTGTCCGTCAACACATACTTTATCTAGTTGCCTACCGTAAGACTGAAGCAAGAAACCCACGCACACATCTTATAGCAGGTTACAGAGGTGTATAGTTACCTATGAGTACAAAGACAGCTTTAAAAAGTCCCTCCATTTTCTTGCGTCTGTTGCCTGTTTGCTTGCCCACATCAGCTGCTTAAGATCAATTATAATAGTCTTATGAACCATGCGTGCGAGGGATGCACAGTTATTTAATCGCGATCTTGAGTGGCAAAGTCAAATATATTACTGTATTCTCGGGGCTAAAAAAAAAGATAACGTCGATATGTAGGTCGTACAATTGTTGTGGTTTTACTCAAATTCTGAAGTTCATGACGATCTGCTGGAAATAAAAGTCAAGGACCTATAGCTCATACAATTTTATCGTGAAAGAAATATCTAGAAGTATAATTGGTTTGTTCTATTGTAATGATAAAATTAAACTCGTGTGTTTCAGTTGAATCACCAGACTAATATCAAATAACTTGACGAAATCATGACCATAATAATATAATAATAATAATAATTTTAAAAAAACGTTACTTAAGCGCTTACCACCGAAGTCTCCATGCATGCATGTTGAAAGTCACAACAAGACACAAACAGGGATTGCATCGGAATTTGGTCCTTTTTTTTCTTTCTACTCATATGTTTAAAGATAAAGATCAGTTCTGGTCATGTGATTGCATTGTGAAAGAAACGTTGTGGAATCCATCAGAAAACGTTGATCAGGCTAGCACATATTTAAGTATTGGTGTCTACTGCAAGGTTCTGGAATCATCAAAATGATAAGAAATTTGGCCCAGTCTTGGTAAAGTTACAAGCACTTTACACAGAAAGATGTATATGGGACTACGCACACATGCGCGCTCGTGCGTAATATCTCTCACATCCCAATAGATAAACTAATTTACCAAATGTTTCAATTAGTAGGCGGTTTCCCGGCAACAACAAAAAATCATCATGTATTAGTCAAAACATCTTTCACATGATTGGTAATAAGAGCTTCCATTTCATATTTTGAAATGGCGGCGTTTCCAATACTGGTCTTAGTACCTTTAAGAGAAGCGAGTACTTTTTTTATTGGAGATTTATATTATGCCTACGATAATATATTCCACATTATTTATTTTAAAAGGGGGGGGGGTCTCTTTAAAAATGGTACTGCATTCCGCTGATGTCCGAATGCCTTAGGTCTATTTGCAAAAAGATAACTCCAATCGCAAATAGATATAGAATGGGAACAAAGATAAGGTTTAGTCTAATCCAGTCTATAACTTCCGAATAAAGCCAGTGGATCTTTAGATAATTATCGTTCAATATCTTTGAAGGAATGATAAGCCCGCCGATGTATATAGTACAATGTTATAAAGTATATAATACTGTTGGAAATGAGCATGAAACTCGCAAGAACTTCTTATTTTTTTATTTCATTTCTCTTTCAACACATGGATTTGATTAGGACTACATCATTATGGATATATATATATAGTCCTGCGGTGGTTGACGAAAAAAAGATAAACGGAGAAGAAGAAAAAAAAAAAAACAACCGTTGCTTCTGCTACGGTTTTTTGTTGTTTCACTATTTCTTCTGCACTAATATATAAATATCGTATCAAGACAATTACCCCCTAGAACAATTAGTTCCCGGAATATTACCCCCAAGGACAATCACTGCCCCCCCCCCCCCCACCCACCCCCGGACAATTAGAAAACTAGTCATTGTGGTGACTTTCATTTACCTCTTCTTAAAAACCCTTTCCCCCAAATATGTTGGAACACTCTTAAAAAAATTATTGCAATCTTGCCCCATCACTTAATTCATGTGATAGATAATTAAAATCGTTCTTCTAGATTATTATAAATTCAATAATTCTTCGCGTATTAAATACATATCTTTGTAGTTTCCTGTTCCCCTCGTCCCTTGCGTATTATTGTTCCCTTTGTCTTGTAAATCTAATTTATGCGTTTATGTCATACCATGTCAGTTTTCTCTGTTTCACTATTTTCTCACGAATTGGGCACCAAAAATAATTGTTCTCCTTACTTGTTGCAAATATATTTTGTTATTCAACCTCTGTATAAGACAAACCTATTTATTCATCAATAACTAAGAAAATTAAAGGTAATGAAATTGTCTGTAAGAGCAAATCGGAGAGGGGCTCGCATGATACGTCGCAGTGTTGCCAATTTGTGTTTCGCTGATGACAACTTCAATTATTCATAACTGTCCTATTTTTCATCGGATTTTGCTTAAACTGTCACTGACGTGTTTCCCTAATTTTTCTGCTTTCATTAAAACCAACTTATTATTATGGTAAGCATCACATGACTGTGATTCATGCGTCAGTGTGAATCTGAACCTAGCTGGACCCAATAACAGCAAAGCATGCAACTATAATACCGCCATGTACGTTTAAATGAAAGCGATGCAAAATGTTTGTGAAAATGTACTTTCGAAAAATAGCCTTGCGCGTGACCTTTTTCGAAAATAGTTGCGATCGCGTTTGGGTAGAAGAAAAAAAAAGGGTTCAAGTAGATACGCAAATTCATTTTTCATTGCATGCATGGCAAAGTAATTCAAAGTTATCAGGAGGAATCGTCGAGTCAACAATGTCATGATCCCCGGATAGTATTTACACAATTACCAGCAATATTGTGGCAATATACTCTCATTACTCGATGATCAGGATGATGCAGTTTCTTGTTTAATCCTAATGGAGAGGGACCTGGGAAAAAACAAATTGCCAATACATTTGGCTCCGAAGACCCGCACCATCCGAGCGTTTTGCCAATCTTTTGAGAGATTTTGACAAAACACACAAAGTTATCTCTTTATCCCTATAACAATAGTCGTGTATCTCTGTGTGAATTCATCAACATAAGTTTTTGAGACAGTGTTAAATTAAGTTCTAAGACATTGTCAAATATCATAAAAACAATTCAAGCATAACTTTCGATCACCTATACCCACGTATTACTTTTTTTGTATGTCTGATTTTCTTTGTGAAATAAAATGCGACAGATATTTACAATTTTGTAACCCCAAATTAATTATTTTTTTAATATAAATAATCGTGGCTAAAAATAAGTATAAGATGACTGTTAAATCATACCATTCGCTCTCTTGGTTTTCTAGAAAAACCTCGTCTCTCTCTCTCTCTCTCTCTCTCTCTCTCTCTCTCTCTCTCTCTCTCTCCTCCTCCTCCTCCTCCTCCTCCTCCTCCTCCTCCTCCTCCTCCTCCTCGTCCTCATCCCCCTCCTCTTTCCCTTCCTCTCATCTCTCTTTCTCCCCTTTCATCCATCTCTTCCCCTTCATTCTTGATATCAATCACCTTGCTCCCTGTTATTCATCCAACCATAATTCATAAACTACTTGTAGTTTCCTCCTGAGCTCCTCACTTCACCCACAACAGATCATCAAATGCAAACAATCTCAATTTTGGTCACCCTTAGCCTTGTTTATGAGGGCCTTCCATTTCCACTTCCCGTGTTTTCAATGTGCAGGTGACACTTCACGCAACAGTTTACAAGCGATATCAGAAGATGATTGATGACGTAAACAGGTTATTATTTTGCTGCCGGTGGCATGGCGCCGCTAATTGTAGCGCTAGAATGAGTTTACCTTTTATCTATTATTAAACCGAGTTTTGTTTCCTTATTTACATGGAATGTATACTTCGTGGGCACGACATACATGACCATCTTGTATAATTTCCGGCAAACTATGTTTATTTTTCAATTCTCCCTAACTGTTGGTTCGTCTCCATGAATTCCCATAATGGCGACTCATAAGCAGCTAATATTTTGCATAAATCCAATCATTATCATCTTGGGAATATAAAAAAATAATCAGTAGTGCGGTTCCATGGATAGCCCCCCCCCCCCCCCCCCCCCCACAGCAATAAATAATAATAATGAGGCACATGTAGAAAATGAATGAAAGTATTTAAATTTGTCTTTGGACAATTTTATAATCGTTAAATAAATTACATTGCAATGCAAAATCGAATACTAGGCCTGAATGTACAGACTACATCGCGTGCTGACGGATCAATACGAATTTATTGCACAATGTTTACGTTCGTCAAAAGTATTATCTCCATTTTCATATTCCCTGTGCGGCCAGTTAAATGCAGTAGATTGGATAATGTAGCCCTTTTCTCCGAGTCAATATAATCCGGCTTTCAAGCTAAGTAACGCTCGGAGTTCGGAAGTGAAAGGCATGACGTCACAATGCAGAGGCGCACACTAATGAAGGGGGTTCAAAACACGATTCAAAACACGATTCAAGTGAACATGCTGAATCTGAGTGCCCCCTCCCCCGTCCCCCGTGAGACATCAATCACCTTGTTAATCCGGATGTTATTGCATCATCTGATTTGATAACTATACTTGCTCAGCTTCATTGGTTTTGTTTTGTTTTCTCCATTTGATATTAATCCAAATATTGGATCGGAGTTTCATACGGTTGTATTACCTCCGTGGAGAGGAAGAAGTACTAGAGATTTTACGTGATGGGAATTAGTGCAGAAAGGCATCAGCCATCCGCTTCGCTGAAATCTAATTCAAACAGTCTTAAACACCCGAATATACACAAATTTAGAAATTAAAGACTAAAATAAAACTGATATTCTCGATATCATGTTTTTAGATACAACTATGAGGTCATTGTGCACAGAGCAAACTTTTTTTTCCAGAAACAAAGGCAGTCAAACCCGATTGAAAAGAACTGTATTAAAGGTAATGCAAAGTTTTGGGAAATTTTAAAAATTGGATGGATAGTAATTCTTAAAAATGTTGATTTATTTGGATGCCCCTATGGATGAATTATAAACACTAGAAAATGTAACCCCTAAAACACTTCTGCTTTTAAGATATTTGAATGATCAAAATTTACCGGTGCTCCCGGTAAATTTCAAATATTTCAAATAGCGCCTAAGGCCATTCAATGGTAGCTGTAACTATGAAACTCTCAGAATATGCAGCTCTGATATATAATTTCCAAACTGGAATAGCAAATCGGTCGATTGTAGTCAAGAAACATTGTTTTAAAGCTAAAGCAATTTCAGCCTTGAGAGGGAGTTATACAACATAAAGAGTTTAATATTTACAATTTTATCACTTCGATTTCGACTGCGACAACGATTATTAAATATTGTAAAATCGCATGTTTCCAATATGTTCATATGAACCCCCCCCCCCCCCACTAAAACCCTCTTCTCTCTCTCTCTCTCTCT